AAAGTTCATAACTTTTTTTCTATTATAGAGAGGAAGCTGAAACTTTCACTGAATTTTATCCCTTTCAAAGGACTACAATCCCTGAAAATTTCAGCTCATTTGCACTTATAGTTCCTGAGATAAAAATCGTGTTAAGCAATTTGGGGTGATTTATCAATTTTTCAATTTTTCTGAGTGCCTTTTTTCATAGATTTTGGCTTCAAATCTGAGAATAATTCAGTGTATGGAGTTTGGGGTATGTTGATTGACCATTAGGATACAAAATCTCGACAAAAAAAATTTGAAATTTCATCATTTTAGTAAGAAGGTACCTACCTTATGATTTAGATTTTGGAAAACTTTGAACGGTCATAACTTATTTTCTATTATAGATAGAAAGCTGAAACTTTCACTGAATTTTATCCCTTTCAAAGGACTACAATCCCTGAAAATTTCAGCTCATTTTCACTTATAGTTCCTGAGATAAAATCGTGTTACGCAATTTGGGGTGATTTATCAATTTTTCAATTTTTCTGAGTGCCTTTTTTCATAGATTTTGGCTTCAAATCTGAGAATAATTCAGTGTATGGAGTTTGGGGTATGTTGATTGACCATTAGGATACAAAATCTCGACAAAAAAAAAATTGAAATTTCATCGTTTTAGTAAGAAGGTACCTACCTTATGATTTAGATTTTGGAAAACTTTGAACGGTCATAACTTATTTTCTATTATAGATAGAAAGCTGAAACTTTCACTGAATTTTATCCCTTTCAAAGGACTACAATCCCTGAAAATTTCAGCTCATTTTCACTTATAGTTCCTGAGATAAAAATCGTGTGTTACGCAATTTGGGGTGATTTATCAATTTTTCAATTTTTCTGAGTGCCTTTTTTCATAGATTTTGGCTTCAAATCTGAGAATAATTCAGTGTATGGAGTTTGGGGTATGTTGATTGACCATTAGGATACAAAATCTCGACAAAAAAAAAATTGAAATTTCATCGTTTTAGTAAGAAGGTACCTACCTTATGATTTACATTTTGGAAAACTTTGAAAGGTCATAACTTATTTTCTATTATAGAGAGAAAGCTGAAACTTTCACTGAATTTTATCCCTTTCAAAGGACTACAATCCCTGAAAATTTCAGCTCATTTTCACTTATAGTTCCTGAGATAAAATCGTGGTTAAGCAATTTGGGGTGATTTATCAATTTTTCAATTTTTCTGAGTGCCTTTTTTCATAGATTTTGGCTTCAAATCTGAGAATAATTTAGTTTATGGAGTTCAGGATATCACGAGGGACCATTAGGACACAAAATCTCGACAAAAAAAAAATTGAAATTTCATCGTTTTAGTAAGAAGGTACCTACCTTATGATTTACATTTTGGAAAACTTTGAAAGTTCATAACTTTTTTTCTATTATAGAGAGGAAGCTGAAACTTTCACTGAATTTTATCCCTTTCAAAGGACTACAATCCCTGAAAATTTCAGCTCATTTGCACTTATAGTTCCTGAGATAAAATCGTGTTAAGCAATTTGGGGTGATTTATCAATTTTTCAATTTTTCTGAGTGCCTTTTTTCATAGATTTTGGCTTCAAATCTGAGAATAATTCAGTGTATGGAGTTTGGGGTATGTTGATTGACCATTAGGATACAAAATCTCGACAAAAAAAAAATTGAAATTTCATCATTTTAGTAAGAAGGTACCTACCTTATGATTTACATTTTGGAAAACTTTGAAAGTTCATAACTTTTTTTCTATTATAGAGAGGAAGCTGAAACTTTCACTGAATTTTATCCCTTTCAAAGGACTACAATCCCTGAAAATTTCAGCTCATTTGCACTTATAGTTCCTGAGATAAAATCGTGTTAAGCAATTTGGGGTGATTTATCAATTTTTCAATTTTTCTGAGTGCCTTTTTTCATAGATTTTGGCTTCAAATCTGAGAATAATTCAGTGTATGGAGTTTGGGGTATGTTGATTGACCATTAGGATACAAAATCTCGACAAAAAAAAAATTGAAATTTCATCATTTTAGTAAGAAGGTACCTACCTTATGATTTACATTTTGGAAAACTTTGAAAGTTCATAACTTTTTTTCTATTATAGAGAGGAAGCTGAAACTTTCACTCAATTTTATCCCTTTCAAAGGACTACAATCCCTGAAAATTTCAGCTCATTTGCACGTATAGTTCCTGAGATAAAATCGTGTTAAGCAATTTGGGGTGATTTATCAATTTTTCAATTTTTCTGAGTGCCTTTTTTCATAGATTTTGGCTTCAAATCTGAGAATAATTCAGTGTATGGAGTTTGGGGTATGTTGATTGACCATTAGGATACAAAATCTCGACAAAAAAAATTTTGAAATTTCATCATTTTAGTAAGAAGGTACCTACCTTATGATTTAGATTTTGGAAAACTTTGAACGGTCATAACTTATTTTCTATTTATAGATAGAAAGCTGAAACTTTCACTGAATTTTATCCCTTTCAAAGGACTACAATCCCTGAAAATTTCAGCTCATTTTCACTTATAGTTCCTGAGATAAAATCGTGTTACGCAATTTGGGGTGATTTATCAATTTTTCAATTTTTCTGAGTGCCTTTTTTCATAGATTTTGGCTTCAAATCTGAGAATAATTCAGTGTATGGAGTTTGGGGTATGTTGATTGACCATTAGGATACAAAATCTCGACAAAAAAAAAATTGAAATTTCATCGTTTTAGTAAGAAGGTACCTACCTTATGATTTAGATTTTGGAAAACTTTGAACGGTCATAACTTATTTTCTATTATAGATAGAAAGCTGAAACTTTCACTGAATTTTTATCCCTTTCAAAGGACTACAATCCCTGAAAATTTCAGCTCATTTTCACTTATAGTTCCTGAGATAAAATCGTGTTACGCAATTTGGGGTGATTTATCAATTTTTCAATTTTTCTGAGTGCCTTTTTTCATAGATTTTGGCTTCAAATCTGAGAATAATTCAGTGTATGGAGTTTGGGGTATGTTGATTGACCATTAGGATACAAAATCTCGACAAAAAAAAAAATTGAAATTTCATCGTTTTAGTAAGAAGGTACCTACCTTATGATTTACATTTTGGAAAACTTTGAAAGGTCATAACTTATTTTCTATTATAGAGAGAAAGCTGAAACTTTCACTGAATTTTATCCCTTTCAAAGGACTACAATCCCTGAAAATTTCAGCTCATTTTCACTTATAGTTCCTGAGATAAAATCGTGTTAAGCAATTTGGGGTGATTTATCAATTTTTCAATTTTTCTGAGTGCCTTTTTTCATAGATTTTGGCTTCAAATCTGAGAATAATTTAGTTTATGGAGTTCAGGATATCACGAGGGACCATTAGGACACAAAATCTCGACAAAAAAAAAATTGAAATTTCATCATTTTAGTAAGAAGGTACCTACCTTATGATTTACATTTTGGAAAACTTTGAAAGTTCATAACTTTTTTTCTATTATAGAGAGGAAGCTGAAACTTTCACTGAATTTTATCCCTTTCAAAGGACTACAATCCCTGAAAATTTCAGCTCATTTGCACTTATAGTTCCTGAGATAAAATCGTGTTAAGCAATTTGGGGTGATTTATCAATTTTTCAATTTTTCTGAGTGCCTTTTTTCATAGATTTTGGCTTCAAATCTGAGAATAATTCAGTGTATGGAGTTTGGGGTATGTTGATTGACCATTAGGATACAAAATCTCGACAAAAAAAATTTTGAAATTTCATCATTTTAGTAAGAAGGTACCTACCTTATGATTTAGATTTTGGAAAACTTTGAACGGTCATAACTTATTTTCTATTATAGAGAGAAAGCTGAAACTTTCACTGAATTTTATCCCTTTCAAAGGACTACAATCCCTGAAAATTTCAGCTCATTTTCACTTATAGTTCCTGAGATAAAATCGTGTTAAGCAATTTGGGGTGATTTATCAATTTTTCAATTTTTCTGAGTGCCTTTTTTCATAGATTTCGGTTTCAAATCTGAGAATAATTTAGTATATGGAGTTTCGGGTATGTTGATTGACCATTAGGATACAAAATCTCGACAAAAAAAAAATTGAAATTTCATCGTTTTAGTAAGAAGGTACCTACCTTATGATTTAGATTTTGGAAAACTTTGAACGGTCATAACTTATTTTCTATTATAGATAGAAAGCTGAAACTTTCACTGAATTTTATCCCTTTCAAAGGACTACAATCCTGAAAATTTCAGCTCATTTTCACTTATAGTTCCTGAGATAAAATCGTGTTACGCAATTTGGGGTGATTTATCAATTTTTCAATTTTTCTGAGTGCCTTTTTTCATAGATTTTGGCTTCAAATCTGAGAATAATTCAGTGTATGGAGTTTGGGGTATGTTGATTGACCATTAGGATACAAAATCTCGACAAAAAAAAAATTGAAATTTCATCGTTTTAGTAAGAAGGTACCTACCTTATGATTTACATTTTGGAAAACTTTGAAAGGTCATAACTTATTTTCTATTATAGAGAGAAAGCTGAAACTTTCACTGAATTTTATCCCTTTCAAAGGACTACAATCCCTGAAAATTTCAGCTCATTTGCACTTATAGTTCCTGAGATAAAATCGTGTTAAGCAATTTGGGGTGATTTATCAATTTTTCAATTTTTCTGAGTGCCTTTTTTCATAGATTTTGGCTTCAAATCTGAGAATAATTTAGTTTATGGAGTTTGGGGTATGTTGATTGACCATTAGGATACAAAATCTCGACAAAAAAAAAATTGAAATTTCATCATTTTAGTAAGAAGGTACCTACCTTATCTCTTCTATCTAGTCTGAGACATAATCCACTGACCACTGGGAATCTGCTTTACTATTGTATAGAGTGGTGTGAGGTCTAGAATGACTTCTAGTGCAGCGATTAGGCATAATCTCATTGCTCCTGTTATACAGAGTCTTTGCACTTTTCTTAAGATTATTATAATATATTTAATAATGTATTGTGTATTAATTTTTGTATTTTGATTATTTTTCAGGTAGTAATCAATTGCGCCATACTAAAAGGACTGAAATATAATCAAGCCACTGCCACTTTTCACCAGTGGCGCGACAACAAGCAAGTGTACGGACTGAATTTCAGTTCGAAAGAAGATGCCGACTGTTTTGCCAGGGCCATGTTTCATTCTTTGGAAGTAAGTCAGAATTATAGGAATAAAAAAATTATAAATTCAAACTTTGATATTTGGTTCACAAGTTAAATTATAATTTTACTTTTGTTTTAACTCATAACATTTTCAAAGAGATTGTCTTTCATACTACATGTATAATATTATATACATTTTTCAATCAAAGCCTATTTTCAATGGACCACTTTCGCATTTTTCAAAAATATTTTTAAATTATTCTTTTAGTCATTCTAATATTATCTGTATACTTTTTTTCCTATTTTTGAAAAAAAAATTATTTAAAAATTGAATTTTCAAACTGGCGCGAAAACACAAACTTGGTTTGTGACGTCACACATTAAAAAATCAACAAAAATGCGAGGATGCCAAATTTCTCATCAGGAAATCATTATACACATTTCACTAGCTAGAAACTATTTTCGTTCTTTACTACATTATAAAAAAATAAAGGATAGGTATAATCCTTATTAACTCATTTATATTTCGTATTTCTACATGTGGCAACAAAAATGTCAAAATTGGCTTAAGCCAATCAGAGAGAGTTTTCATTCACGTGATTTTTCGTTTAAATTTTTAGTTTTTATTTATTAATTTATTTAATAATCTAACTAAAATTTTGCAAAATATTGTTCATTCTCGGTTGCATTGATGTATCTGCGTTAAAAAATATCATAATGTGCAGCACGTGTAAGTGACCCATTAAGTATTGCAAATATCTGATAACGAATTTATAAAACAAAAAATTGACTCAACAATTTGAGTCATTTAAGTTTTATGAAATCATCTTTTTATCAAGAGTGTTTCGCATTCTTCAAGTTTTGCTTCGCTGATAACAAACAAAGAAACAAAGTCGTTAATGTTTCATTATCAATTTAAACCCCACATAATAAGCTGTAATTTAGTATAATTGATTCTTTCCTAGGGATCGCTTGTATGTAATATGTACTAGTGTGCTAAAATATTGTTTATTATTTAGGTACTTAGTAATATTGTCCGGCAACAACCGGCCCCGTCGTCGCAATACGCGCCGCCAATTAACGTACAACAGCCGCCCCCGGTTCCGGCGCATCAGAACCAAATGCAACAACCGCCTCCTCAGCCGCCGCAGCCTCCGGTGCCGCCTCACGGCGTTCCGCAGCAATCTATGATCCACCATCAGCAGCCTCATCAACAATACGACGAAGACATGGGTTATAGGACCATGACCAGGGAGGATGTTGCTATGATACAGGTAGGGATTTTTTTATTACATTATTTTTAGGATGTCGTCATCGAACAAGGACAGACAATGTTGTCAATGTCTATTTGTTTTTTCTTATAATATACCAAAATGTCATTTGTCAATAATTCTCATGACAGTTAAAAATAACGAAATGAAAATGTTTATACAAATCATGCAACATCGTGCGCCGTTGCCATCCAAAACCATTTGAAATTCTCCTACTTTAAATGTATTATAAAGTTTTTCTAGTTTTGTTAGGTTGACAACAAAAATTCACTAAATGTGACGCAGTGATGCCAGGTCTGGTGAAATTTCATTTATTATGAAAAATCTGCTGATTGGTAGAAAACTTTTTGAAAAATGGAAATTTCTGGTGATTTTGAAATTTCATCAATTTTGAATATTTTTACCAATGGCATAAACTTTATAAACATCCCTCGTAGTGTATTGAAATTTTACTTCATTAACATAAAAATTTCATTTGTTTGACTGAATACCAAATATCCATAAGTGGTGTGTGAGGTCCTTTGATTTTTATATAGATTTAATGTATTTGTTCTTTTGATATATTTATGTATGTTTCCCTTTTTATATTTCAATTTCTGTTCATTCCAGGCTCTTGTTGCTATTGGTTGGTTATTTTCCAAGTTGGCAACATGTATTTTGTTTGGCCAGTGGCGTTGCTTAACCAATTATTGAAACCTCGAAATTTTTATTTTTCATATTTTCGAAATTTTGACTAAGATCTTCAACGATATTTGAACAAATGGAAACAAACTATATATGGTTGGAAAGAGCATTAAATTCTCTATAAATCCATGCTAAATTGGTTCAGATAACTCGAACACTTTCTGCGCAATTGGATCAAAAAGTTAACTTTTAGTCCAAATTTTATCAAAAATTTCAAACTCGATTTTCTCGAAAAACATAAGAGCTAGCAATTTTAACTAAATACCATTTTAAAGCCCTATTCAAGAGTTACATTTCCTGAAAATTTTAATTCAAAATCTCCAATAGATTTTAAGATATCAAAAATCAAATATTTTGAAATACAAATCTAAAGGGGTAACCCGAGGGGTGGTTGACTGGTCAAAATCCGTATACAAGTTAGTTGAAATCTCAGAAAATCTCATAAAATCTACTCAAAATTCCTAAAATGAATTTGAAATCCTCGAAAATTAAATAAAATTCCACAAAATCTTTTGAAATTGCATAAAATCCTACACTACAAAATCTAACAAAATTTCATTAAAACCAAAAAAATCCTGCAAAATCTCATAAAATCATTAGTATTCCTAAAAAATATTTCCTTTGAAATTCCCAAAGTCTCTCAGAATTCCATAATTTAGTGGAATTTCGAAGAATTTCGGTAGAATGATTTAAGTTATTCTGAAAAAGGAATTACATGTGAAATTTTTGCGAAGTTTCCATAGAATTCACTTTAATTCCTATCGAATAACACGGAATCCTAAATGAATTATATGGAGGAATTCTTAACAACTATGAAATTACACCGAAATTGTCAACATGAAATTTCAGTTCTTACTTCATTTTACTAAAATTTCAGAAAATCCCACGAGTGGAATGCTGAGGAATTTCCAGCTAAAAACATGGAATTTCGGTGATATTCAAAAAAATTCCCATGTAATAACATGAAATTTCAATATATTTCGGTGAATTTTCAAGAAATTATTTGAAGTTTCATTAATATTCCCAGAAATTCCTGGCTATTAAAAGAGAATTTCAATGAAATTTCGAAAAATTCTTATGAAAATAAATTAAATTTTGAAAAATTCCTTGAAATTTCATTGGACTTTCGAGAACTTTTCGGCTATAAACGTAGAATTTCAAAATATTCTCACAAATTTTTAGTAAATTCCGAGGAATATTTAAGAAATTACATGAAATGTCAATGAAATTCCGAAGAATTTTATGAAAATTTTGTGGAATTCCAAGATATTTCAGTAATAAAATTTTGAAGAATTTCAGTAAAGTTAAAAAAAAAATATGGAATTTTGAAATTAAAATTTTAGTGGAATTCCGAGAAATTTCATAAAATCTTCAAGGGGTTAATCATTCCCCGAAATCATGTCACAAATTCGTCCAAAATCCCTGAAATCTTACCTAAATCCACAAAATCACTCCGAAATCTTTCCATAAACCTAAAAATCCCTCGCAATTGGCCCAAAATTCATAAATCGTTCAACTCGGCCGTTTTTCATTGAATTAAAATATTTGCGAAATCACCTGAAATTCTCCGAAATCATCCGAAATTCTTTGAAATCATCCGAAATCCTCCCAAATCACCCGAAATCCTTCGAAATTGATCGAAATCCCTTAAAATCACTCTAATTCTGAAATCTTGTCACAGTGAATAATCCCTCAAAATCTTCCCAAAATCCTACCGAAATTCTACCGAAATCACCCGAAATTCTTCAAAATCGCTCTAAATCCGAAATCTTGTCATATTTTTCCTTTAGTGAATAATGCCTCGAAAATCTTATATTGTAATTCCGAAAAAAAAAAACATTCAAAGAATTCCATTGAATTTTATGGTATAAAATGTGACAAGTGCAATTTTTGTGGAGTTTCTATAAAATTCACATTAAATTTTAGTTCCTCTCGAATTACATGAAATATGAAATTTGGAGATATTACATGAAATCACGAATGAGTTGCATGGAGGAATTCTAAAAAATGGAATTACACCGAAATTTCCAACATGAAATTTCAGTGCTCGTTAAATTACATAAGAATTTTTAAAAAGTTTCAAAAATTTACATGAATTTTCGTCGAATTAGATGGAGGAATTGTTAGGGAATTACATAAAATTTAAGTGGAATTTTGAACAACTCTTATCGTTTCATAAGGAATTCCAGTGAAATTCCGAAAAATCCTAACATAAAAACAAATTTTTATTTTTATTCCAAGGAATTCCCAGTTAAAAACATGGCATTTTAGTGAAATTGAAATTCTGAAAAATTCCCATCAATTTACTGAATTTTAGTAAAATTAGAGAAAATTTCACAAATGAAATTCCGAGGAGTTTTTGGCTAAAAACTTGGAATTTCGATGAAATTTGGAAAAATTCTCATGTAATGATATGAAATTTCAATATATTTCAGTGAATTTTCAAGAAATTACTTGAAGTGTCGTTAATATTTCCAGAAATTCCTGACTATTAAGGGAATTTCAGTGAAATTCCTAAAAATTCTTATGGAAATAAATGAAATTTTGAAAAAAAAAAATGGAAGTTTTATTGGAATTTCGAGAAATATTCGACTAATAACATGGAATTTTAGTGAAATTTCACAAATTTCTCATAAAAGTATAGAATTTCTAAGAAATTACAGTAAATGTCAGTGAAATTCCGAAAAATTTTGTGGAATTCCAAGATATTTCAGTGGTGAAGTTTTGGGGAATTTCAGTAAAGTTTTAAAAAAATATTATGGAATTTGGAATTTCTATAGAATTTTGGAAAATTTCAGTGGTATTTCGAAAAAAAAAAAAAAAATATTCGCAAAATTTTCATCAAATTATGTATATACAATTTCACTTTGTGTCGGATGGAATGTCGAGTAAAATTCCAAAGAATTCTCGTCGAATTACATATATGGAATTCCTTGACATCTTATTGTGGAATTCCAGTGAAATTACATCCAATCCGAAAAATTCCCTTGGAATTCAACAAAATTTCCGTGAAATTTCCATGGATTGGAACCACGAAAAATTTCGGCGGAATTTCGAAAAATTGAATTAAATTTTAGTGAAATTCTGAGTCATTTCTGTCGACTTACATTAAATTCTAGTGGAATTCCGAAAAATTTCATGAAATCCTTTACTGTAATTCCGAGAAATTTTCGTACAAGTATTCCATTGAATTTTATTGTGGGATTCCATGCAATCTTATGGTGAAATTCGGAAAAGTATTATGAAATCAAATTCAAATTTGTCATTTGAATGGAATTTCGAGGATTTCTATAAAATCTTCTAGTGAAATTCTGAGGAATTTCTATGGAATAAGAAAAATTTTCGCAGAATTCCCATGGAATACTTATCGTTAAGACTCCCCTAAATTAGTTGATAAAACGCCATAAAAACCCTTTCAAAATTCCCTAAAATGATCCAAAATCACCCTAAATTTCATAAATTCAAATTTTTTAAAATCACGTGAAGTTTTTCAAAATCCTACAAAATCAATACCTAAAGATCACGTGAAGATTTTCAAAAATCCTTTGGGATCCTCAAAAATCCGTTAAAATCTCTAAAAATCTTTTAGGATCTCTAAAAACCCTCCTAACTCCAAAATCTTTTAAAATCCTGTAGAATCCTATGAAGATTTTCAAAATCCTCAAAATCCTACTAACAAAATCAATGAAGATTTAAAATCTGTGTACATATTTTAAGCAGTTCACCACCCCTTGTGGTAATCCTTTGAAAAATTGGAAATTTTTATTGTTCATATTTATTGAATTTTGACTTTTTCAATCGATAGAGTGGGTCTAAATTTGTCGAAAAAAACTCTAACATCATTACATAATCTTGATTTCAACACAGAGAAAAATTTAAAAAAAAAAAGCTCAATTTTTAGGTTTAAATCTTTTTTGAATCCTGATAAGGTTAGGAGCAATTGCCAATACTTCTATTAAATTTTGAGCAAATCAAAATAAATTATATATGGTTGAAAAGAGCATTAAATTCTCTATAAATCAGTGCTAGATTGAGTTTGATAACTCAAATACTTTTGGAGCAATTGAATCTCAAAGTTGGATTTTAGTTGAAATTTAGTCAAAAACTTCAAACTGGATTTTCTCAAGAACCGTAAATGCCAACGATTTCAACTGAGTACTATTTTGAAGCCCTTATTAGGAGCTACCGATTATCGAATTTCGAATCTGACATTTTGTCTATGGGCCATAATGTCATCTAATAGTCAAACTGTCAAACTCAAATATTATAATTTTTTTCGGCAGTTAAAAAAAATTCAACTAATTGGAGTTTCCTCCCCTACTCAATTCAGAAAATAAAAAAAATTCCCGAAAAATTGAGACTGAAAAACCAGGTACATACGATGAAGGTGACCACACATAAAAACCCTCGCCCCTACAGACTTGTAATTTGAAAGGACCCCGGCCCTCTGGGCTCGTAACTTAAATAGACCCCGGCTCTTCGGGCTCGTAAATTAAAAAGACTTCGACCTTATGAACCTGCGATTTTGGAAGAAAAATTAAAAACGTAGCAACCCTAATCTAAAAATGTAGTAACCCTAACGCAATTTAACGTTTCGAAGTAGGCCCTGTAGTTTTTGACAGTTAATTTAAAATGGCTGAGTTGTTTCCAAGACCTACTTGATTTGATAAATTTTTTGCTTACAGTTATCTGTATTACTGACATTGATTGCTTAGCAACAGTGATCATCGCCTGTAGTATACGTGATAAATAGGTTGCGAGTGACGTCATGAAAATAGAATTCTACTTGTCATGCAGGATTGCTTCAAGGTTCACTTAGTTTTAGTATAGTAATCTTATCGCTTGTCATAAATGATATTTGACATTTTGCCCAACAGTGTTGCCAATGTTTATATAATTACTATTATGGAAAATTTGAAATTTGCAATTTGTATAAATTCGAGCCTCAATAATTGGCACAATATTTGTTATAACTTGTAGTTGGCAACACTGTTTGACAAGGGACAAAGTAGGCTTTGCAAAATTTTAAAATTTAAATATGGCACCCTGTAATACCGACATTGCGATATATACATGTTTTCAAAGCATACTTGGTTTGATATAAGCTCGTAAGGCGAGAATTTTCCTGAAAAATCAACTTTCAAGATTTCTGGTGATTTTTTGTTTAAATCTGGTGATTTTTCATTCCAATTACTGGTGAATTTAATTTTTTCGACCTGGCAATAGTGATGTGACGTCATCCTAAATATAGCGTAAAAATCTTATAAAATTCAACGTTATTTTCAATTGATGATAATTCAGGAACGGCGGATATCGGCGGCGATCGTTTCTCCTCAGCCAACATCTCCGATGACTCCTCAGCAAAACAACGTCCCGGCGCCCCCTGCCATGCCAATGATGGCGGTCACTCATAGTCCAGTGTCGCCGCCTCAAGTTGCCAATCCTGGACATACCAGAACGGTAAGTTTTATAGAGATTTTTAGTAAAATCGAAAAACTATTATTTTTTAATGTTCATTACATAATATTTCTATTTAAATTGAAGGTGAGTGCACCGCCGGCTCCGCCGCCACCTCCAGGACCGCCAATGATGCCAACAGCGGCGGCGGCAGCGCCGCCTCCACCTCCGCCGCCTCCGATGAACATGTCAAGAAGTCAGAGCAGTGACGGCGGCGAAATCAACTCGTTTGCGGCCCAGTTGCAAAGCGCCAAACTCAAACGGAATAAAGTGAGTTGGATTTTTACTACTTTTTTTTTTGTTGAAAAATTTTTAGTAACTTTGAGGATTTTCAACTTTTTGAGGACATAAGGGCTTACGCTCACGATAAATAAAATTTTATCATAATCGCCTCAGTTTGGTACCTCATTTTAGTCTGTCTGTTGATTAAGTAAAGATGGCTCCGAGTAAGAAGTACGTGTGTTTATCGTGTCACAAAAATGTCAATAAAAATCAGTATAGTATAAGATGTGTCGGTTCCTGTGGAGGTTACTTCCATGAAGGACGCTGTGGGCTTTCGAAGAAACAATTTGCCGATTTGTTAAAACAAAGAGATCATAGGTGGAAATGCAAAAATTGTAAATTGCAAAAATGTGTAGTTAGTAGTGCCAGTGATCAAAACATTGGTAGTGACTCCGATTCAACGAGCGGCGAAGAAGATAATTGTCAAGGCCGAAAGTCGAGTAGCAACATTAGGAACAGCCGCGGTGCGTACAGAAAATCCCTTGGCCTTAGCAACCGCGCGCCTATATTAGCTGTATCCTCCCAAGAAGACGAAGATAACCCAACCTCAAAATCACGACAACAAAAACATAAACAAAATAAAAATAAGGAAATTGATGAATCCATCAAATGCGGATATAATGAAGTTCTTAGAGGGCAGGTTCAGAAATTTTGAAGACTCTCTCACATTCTACGGTGATTCTCTCGAAGAACTTAAGCAGTCAATTGCGAAACTTTCAAAAGAAAATCAACAACTAAGGGCAGATAAGAATGCAATGGAGCAGCGCATACAAAACCTAGAGGTAGAAGTGAGAAAATATAGCGAAAGGGTGGCGTTTGAAGAGAGAGAGGAAAAAAAAAATATATAGTACTATTTGGTGTACCAACTACCAAAGAGAAATGTAAAGAAGATGTCCAGAAATTATTTACAGCACTTCAAGTGAACATTCTTCCTCAAGAGATTTTGAAAACAAGGATTCTTCAGTCGAAAAACAACGAAACGCATGTCCTGGTTAGCTTTGAGAGTGAAAATACAAGAAATATAGTAATGGAGGCAAGGAAAAAAAAGGGCACAATAACAGTGAAGGAATGCAATATTGGTGACTCTGAAAGGAAGATATTTGTGAATGAGGATTTGCCGAGGGATACAAGGCAGCTGTTCGACAACGCTCGCAAACTAAAAGACAAAGGTTACCAATTTGTGTGGTGTAAAAATGCAAAAGTTTTTGCACGTAGAGAAAATGGCTCAGAGGTTATATACATAAAAGATATTTCCCAAATTCAGAGGTTGGGGGGGGGGGACCCAAACTAGTGAGTAAAATATAATGCATACTCGAATGGATATTTCTGAATTTAACAATTTAGAAGCATACAATAATGCCCTTAGAATAGATACGTGCAATGATAATTTGAACATTCTTTATTTAAATGCAAGATCTCTGAAAAATAAACTTGAAGAAGTGGAAATTATTCTTAAAAAACTTCAGTGTAGAATACATATAATTGTTGTTACTGAGACCTGGCTAAAGTCAGGTGAAGAAAAATATTTTAACATAACAAAATACCAAGCCACTTATGTGAGCAGAGACAGACAGGGAGGTGGTGTGGCTGTGTTTGTTGAGGACTCTATTCCTTTTACAACAACGAGTCTACATAAATCGGATTTGTCCATAGTGACTATTAATATTGACAGATTCAAGGTAAACCTAACTGCTGTATACAAACCACCAAACTTTGAAACAAATGTTTTCCTTCAAGAGTTGGAGCACCTTTTTGACAGGGTTTCTGCCTCGAAAAGCATTATAATTGGTGATGTCAATATCGATCTATTGACTAACAGTAATGTAGTCAAAGCATATAAAGATATTTATGAAACTTTTGGATATGAAGCGTTGAATAGAGTGAGATTCACAAGAAGATCGAATAATCCATTTCTCATCGATCATATGTTGACAAACTATAATAATGGGAAGTTTAATCTTCCATTGCATCAGTGACCACAGATTACAAGTGCTTTCTATTCCTGGAAGTTCATACTGCAGACGGAAACCTGAGATTAGGTACCAAGTATTCAGAAGGATGGACATCTTAGCTGCAAGGGAAAGTCTCAGGCAGATAATGGAAAAACTGGACCATTATACGAATGCGGAGGTTCTCTATGATGATATGGAGAGAACTTTTATGGACAACAATCGAGTGATGGTCAAACAAAGGAAAAAGATTGAAGGACTTACGAGGGGTGTACACGAGAGAGCGTTTTTAAAAAACTTTATTTGACTAATACAATAGAACTGACTTAAATCTAGAAATTACTCCTTTTATAATATTAAAAATAAGCTGAATAGAACAATATAAATGCTGAATTGGAGTTCTCACGGGATATAACTCCTCCATCCTAAGTTAAAAGCATACCAAAAAAGGTATGGTTTTATACAATGGAAAAAATAAAGAAAATGCTAAAAGAAAAATATGATTAAACTAAATAAGTAAAAGTAAAATTGTTAAATTACAATATCGTCTTCTAACGAGGCTTTTTGGGCACGTTTAAGGCGATGTTTCAAAAGTAATTTATAGACAGTAAAAATGCATAGTATTCCTAAAATACAATAAAGTAAAATTGTCCAAAAATTTATTTGGTGCATTTCCATTGGGTTAGATATTTCTTGTAGTCGTCTCTTCTGTTCTTGAAGAGTTGTGGCAATTTCATTGGTTTCCTTCAAGTTGATGGAGTTCAGGTCAAGTGTAGGTGGATTAAAAGCAAACTCCTTTGTTTGGTAATAATTCATCGATAAATTCAGTGTAGGCAAGGATACATCATCATAAGTCAAACGATTGGGCTTATAAGTTCGTAGAGTAATTGACTTTATTTGTGAGCTGCATTCATTTGTAGATTCGGCTAAGTAGGAACCATGAAGCGGTACGTTGTCCTTAGAATTTGGACAAGATGCTGAGACAATTAGTTGTTCGGGCGTTGTGATTATCCATTTTCCGTCCGTTATTTTAGTGATTTGGACATTTTGTAGTCTAATACGGAAAGGGTGGCAAGTAGTGGCATTTTCTTTGTATAAAATCAATTGGACTGCACATGGAGGCTCATGATCAATGTATGCAGTATGGGCTTCTTTACATAAGTACTCGTTGGGTAACAATTGGTTGCAGGTTTGGTCCATATAAGAGTACTTGTTGTTGCTAAGTGCAAGGTATGGTTTGTGTGGAAAGTTCATAAAGAAATCAGGATTTTGTTCGCTTGGAATTGGTATCGGAAATAATTGATAATAGTGATAGACATCCGATTCGACCAATGGTATTTCCAAGATGAAGGTGATAATCAGGCCCTTTGAATAACCTTTAATCTCGATTATTTTTTCGTAGTTCAATATGTTATCAATATTGGCTTCTAATGGTAACACGTCATGCACTAATTGTTTTTTAAATCTACAAATTTCTTTTATTAGCTCTAATGGATCGATTATTGAATTATGGAGCGTATTGATTTTAGCAAATGAGATAGCTACTTCCGTTTTTTCTAAGATATCGTAAATTGTTTGATATAGCATTGATATCTGATTAATTATTATGTGAGTTTGGAAGTATTGATGGTTGTCAATAGCAGACAGAGCTACCTTTTTTATTGTGCTTTCAATTTGCAGTATTCTCGATTTTAGCGTTATTTGATTGGCAGATATATTAGAGATAACGTTTTGAAACTGTTCAATGGTTTTCCCTAATAAATTAATTTGATTAAAAGATGATTTTTTAAGTTTATCTTGATTTTCTTGTAATTGTCTAATTTGCCTATCATAAAGATCTGCATCATCTTTATCAAGATTGCCAGTAATGCATTTTATTAATGATCCTAAAGGATTCAAGATGCCACGTTTTTGTCTTTTTGAGTAACTACTCGTTGGGTCAATTTGCCTTATGTTGTTTTCTATGCGTTTTTCTAATGCCATTAATGGCAGCAACGTGTTTTTATATTCTCGTTCATAGGATACATTATTTGTAATGTTTTTAATTAAATAGTTAGCGTTTTCTTTGATCAAATAAAATTCGTTAACAAGGGGTGTTAGGTCGTGAATTTGTATTAATGACCAATGATTGGAAACTATTTTGGCAGTTCCCAATTTATAAGGTAGGAGTCCGGGATATTTATTCAGGTTATGGAAGTTTATTCCTACTGCTCCGATGTTGAAGATTCGGATCCATCTGTAACAATAGATTTGATTTTGGTTTCGTTGATATGCAAAATCTCTTTTCGATTTGTTTTGGGGTTTTCAATTTCAATCTTGTTGTTTTCTAATATTTTTGTTAAGATGAATGGACCTGTGAATCTGTGGTGTAATTTACCACACGATGTCTTGTTTTTTATATATTTGACACCCTATGGTTAGTTTTTGAGGGGTCTTCTTTTGATTATGTTTGTCAATAAGTTTTTGTTTTAAATTAATTGAGTCTTGTTGTATTTTATTATACAAAGCTTCCGTGTTAGTTTTGTGATTGTGGACATATTCGGTGAATATTTGCGCGGGCATAAGTTGCATAGGGTCACTAGAAGAAGTGTGTCCTAAAATCAATGTATAGGGAGTAAAGCCTGTGCTTGAATGGATTGTGCTATTATAAGCAATTACAGCATAGGACATTAGGGTTGATACGTCAGTATTTTTGTTTTTTTCTCGTAGTATTCTTATGTGTTCTATCAGGGTTGAATTTAACCTTTCAACGGGCGAATTCGACTCGTGATGATTTGGAGTAGTAAAATGGATTTTAATATTATGTGTTTTCAATAAATCCTTAACTACTTCGTTCTTGAATTCTGTTCCATTATCGGATACAATCAATTTAGGGATACCGAAAAATGAAAAGAAATGGATTAGATTTTGGGATACTGATATGGCGGTGCCAACGCAAGGAAGGGCTTGTCCATATTTGGAAAATTTGTCTATAATTACTAGGAATTTTTGTTTATCTACAAGGAGTGTATCGAGGTGAATAATCTCGAAGGGTTTCGA